TCAGAATTCTGGCACAGCATGGTTTAAGGGCAAGTGGCCTGAAGGACCTCTGGCACTCGCCTTCAATTTCCTTTCCCCTCTTCTATCAAGAAAACTATATGTACTGCTTTCACAGAATGCAACAAATTCTGTGAAGAAGGGGGAGGAGGATAAATGACAGGATTCCCTCAACCATTCACAAGAACTGTTGCATTCTGTAAAAGCAATGCAAGGAGGTTTTTTACATGGAGATGGGGGTGCCTGGAATCACTGAAGGGAGGATTTTTACAGTAAGAAGCAGCCAGCAGGATGTAGAACACACTTCATCTTTATTTATACAACACACTTTCTGTTTATTTATACAAAAAAAATGTAACTAAATTTATGCTTTAATTAATCCTTGGCTCAATCCATTTTTTTTAAGTTTTGACTTAAAATGATTGCTGCTTGCTTATACTAAACCAGGAACCACTTTGTTAAAATGGACATTTTTTAAACACTTTCTATTTAAAAACATTTAACTATCATACATAAGATTATGTAAACCTAACATTTAATATTCCTGATATGTGCCTGCTGTACCATGTACTTGTATAAAAGGTATATACATTTTGTATTGTTTCCTTTGTGTGAAATCCCTTGTGTTCCTACCAGTCCCTCTGCTTTCCTATTAGTCCTCATGCACACTGGATGTTTTTACAGCTGCTGTTTTTTAGCTTTTGATGTTTTTTTCTACAGTCAGTAAAATCCCCAGCATATTATCCTATGTGTCCATGCACACAGAGACTGTAATCAACAATTTTTGAAAGAGGCGTTTTTTTGCTGGAAAAAAACCCAGAACTAGTGGGTTTCTAGAGGAGTTTTTTAGCTGTAAAAAAAACTTTTTAGGACCCCAAAAATTGTTTTGGGGTAACAAAACCTCTAAAAACTGCAAACGCAAAAAAAGCAAAAAAATGTGGCTAAACGCTAATACAAAAACACTGAAAAACACACGTCTTTAACGTGACTTTACACAGCTAACATTACCAGCCTTATTAAAACGCCCCGTTTGCATGGACCCTTAAAAACTGATCTTACTAAGCATTGGAGCACACCATGGTCAGTCCTCTAGCTGTGCAGCTGAAAGCAGAGGGCATGTAATCACCTATAAATAAGGGGAAAAGGGTATTTATAATGTTTTTATATGTATACACAAATGTTTTGCCTTTGTTTTTTAAACTGAATGGGTTGAATTATGGTGGGAGTTCACATATGCTTTAAAATTGCTATCTCTGTGATGATGTCCTCTAAATAGTAACTTCAATTTAAAGCTTTCGAAACTGTTATCAACAAAGGTAATCTGCCCATGTGTAAATGTTATGTGTCCCAGTGCAATGCTGGAGAATCCATGTGGATCTTTCCCCTGGAGATTTGCAATATTATAAAGCTTTAAGCATCAGCTATTGTATTCCTTCACAAGATATTATTTATAACCTTGCTTGTTTCTATCAGGTAACAAATAGTATAATATGAAACAAATCTTACCTGGCTTTTGCAAATAAACAAGACTTTTTTAATTGTATTATTATTTTTTTATGGCTTCTTTACATATTTTTGGTCATAAACTGAGCTGTGCATTTTCATTGAACTAATCCTTATATATACACATACACAGATGCTCATACACATATACTGAGTTGCTAGCTTAGACATTTAGAGGGTTTGTGATGTTATAATTGTGTTTAAACCTATTATTAAAAATCTTCTTCTTTTGTCCCCAACAGTCACCCAATAAGCAGCTTATGCCCAAAGCATTTGTCAGTGAAATTCCATGAAGTCACATCATACATGGAATAGGTCATCCTCCTTTTAACCTCCTGTGGATAAAGGATACTGCTCTAGGAAAGAGATAAGCCCTCCCTAATTACCTAATTTGGAAGAAATATCAAAAGGAAACTTTATGTGAAGGAAAAAAAAGGAGTTTAATAGAGATTGCAATTGCAGGTTAAATACATGCTGTAAAATTTGTGAATCCTACAAGTATGCTTTTATGTATATTTTATTTCTATTTTAATGATGATTTAATAAAATCAGTATGGGTAAAGGCCTGCTCATTATATATTTTTTTTTCATGCATATTATATACTTGAGATGTTAGTACAATTTAAAAGAAATGAAAAATCATATACTGTATCTAGCTCCCTTTGTTATACTGGTATTTAGGTAAGTATGGAACAGAAAAAATCAGGTCATTAATGTGGCAGTGCTGTTTGCAGAACTATGTATACTTCAAGATAAGGTAGACAGAACAAATTATTTGGCAAGTAAAACAATTTCTATATGTATATTTGCAGTTTATTTGTTTGTCTGGAGTTTAAATTTAAATCTCTTCTACAGGCTAACCATAATCTCTGATTTCCCTCACCACCCCCCTGTAACCTATTCAATGAGTTTTTTTTAGTATTTTTGAGAGCATTTTACACTTGCTTAAGTCCACCACCAGGGTCCCTCACCAGCATAATTTTGGGTGCAGGGGACTGGTAATACAGCGCTGTAGATGTCCCTGATGGTCCTCTCCCTCTGATGTCATCACCTGTAGACTCCCCTATGGATACTGAGAGGACCCCAGTGCTGTACAGTCAAGAAAAAGTGGCCACATCATGTAGGCAGTAACATGGCCTTGTAAAGAAGGTGCTTACTGCCTGTAAACATAAAAAAATACTTGGGACTGGAGCGACACATGACCACAGATTTAGGAGAGTAAAAGGGGTATTTAGATGGTTACATTTTTTTTTTTCATCTGTCAGTTGTTATAAAAAGGTGAGAGGCTGGGGCTGGAGCCTGAAGTTCAGCTTTAATGCTGCATCCCAAAAATTTTGTGCAACAATCTGCCTGTAAAAGAAGACCATTCATACCCACCTATCCTTCCACACACTCTTCAGATTTTTGCATTATCTATTATCAGTAGTTGCCCCATATAAAGTTTGTTTGTTTTGAGGTGCAACTTTGCTTGTCCTAATGAGTGTGAACTGTTCTTGTCCTGACCCAGGCTATGTTTTTGACTATGAGTTTGTTCTTTATTCCCGATATTCTGATGTTGGGTACTGGTTATGCCTGAAAATTCTTTCTGTCCAAGCTCTTGTCATTTGACACTGACTTTTCCCCTGTTGGGGAATGGTCTTCTTTCTAAGAATAGTGCTTAAGTTCTGGGGCACCCAAATACTGTGCACACATATACATCACCCTTAGATGGTGTTCCTTTTAAAAGGGTGCCAACCAATCAGGAGTCAGGTGGGGATACATGTGTAGACAGGTGCCAGCTATATCAATATTCCTTTCAGGGGCATTTTCAGATGAGACTATGATTAATCCTGTTCATCCTAGTGCCCAGTACTGGGACTTCTACATCACTTCTTGTTAGCAGAATGGATCCAGTTCTTTTGACAGTAGAGGATCTTTGGACCTGTAGTCTTATAGCCAAGACATACTGTATTACTGAGTGCTGATTGAACTATAACTACCAGAGAGCTGGCGAAAGAGAGGATGCTGGGAGAGCAGATATATTCTACAGTAAGGGACAAGCTTGCTCTCTTGGTGCAGGATCAGAGCTGAACATAGAGGGACTGCTGTTCTCCTCCAGAGACAGATTGTGGGCCTACTGCTGTAGGACTCTACACATCAGTTCAGCACAGCAGTGGCGCCGATTACCACAATAGAATCGTATCAGTCCAGTTTTCACACAGCAGACACCTCTGCTTGCTGCACTGACAGGCTGTCAGGCGATAACTCTGCACATCCCAGCACACAGCCAAGAGCCTGGCCAAGAACTCTCATTCGTAGGAGGCCATTGTATCCATAGGATTGGTGAGTGGACAGATGCCCCACCATTTTCTGTCATCACTCTAGAGACACTGCATGCAGACACCTTTACCAGCATTCATTACTGTTCATGAGCCCCACCATTATTAGCAGCAGACAAAGGACAAAAATATATCAGAAACCTTAAACATCAAAGGACTCAATCTCTAGTTAAAGGGACCTCTTCTCTTCTAAGGCAATTGTTATTCAAATTAGGATACTTATATCTATTTATGTCGGAGTATACATTTACATAATTCTCAGCATCCACCAGTGTGATGCTGGTGGTCTAGAGGGAGCTGATAAGTCAATAAGCATTTTCTTCCCCCTCTTACTGCTGGTGCTGCAGTCTAATAGATGAACCTCATGACTGTATCATTTATTAAATGTTACTAATTGATTATTCCTATTTTACCTGTGTCCTATTTTATTGCGTTAACTGGGGTTTTATATCCTAACCTCATTATTCTTGTGGTCTACTTTCTTGAACAAAGACTAATATAGAGGTGTTACTAAAGAATTGTGTCTCTTGCATTATTATCCATGCTGTTGAAATACAGTATGTCTGAACCCAGAGTGTCAGAAGTGTTGGGAGGCTTGCAAGGTCAGGGTAATCTCTAGGGACAAGCATTATCAAGCAGCGCCTGAGGAGATAGTGCTACACATGCCTAACCAGGTATGAATTTCTACTTTAATGAGGATCATTCCACACTTTGAAATAACCATTGTTATTTATTGGAAATATTAAAACTAGTTAGCACAGCTAAAGACTTGAGGGAACTGTTTGGCTGTCAATTAATAATCAAAAAGTCTTGAAAAGAGTGGACTGTGCTCCTCTTAAACATGGGACAAGCAATAAATCCCAATTCTGACTTACAAAACTCATATCAAGCCTGGAGAGTGCCTCTGACCTACATTCCCAATCTACATATCGCATTGTAAATATCCTGTTCAGACGTGCACATATTCCAATATGTATGATAAAGCTGTTATTTTTATATTGCAGAATTTCAAAACTGTGTATGCCTAACGTTTGCATATGGATAACTGTCTGAAGTTAAACTGTTTGAAGCTTTTTTTGTTTACTATAATTCCTAATGTCATGAAAAACTGAATCTCATTCTTCAGTTATATCCATTTGTTATGTGTCCATTTTATTTGTTATTTTTTTTAAAATGTTTGTGATGACAAACAATTCATTGATAAGTAAGTTCCTCCTTGCTGGTTTTTCTGGCTGCCAACACTGCCAGATTCCCATTTTTTGTGTATTCCTCCTAATTTATATATTCATGGTCTTAGAAAACATGACCATTGTATTATTGGTTATACAAGACTGCAAACTATGGAAGCCTATGTATATATTCATAGGGAATCTTTCCATTTTGGAAATTGGGTATGTCAATGTTACGCTTCCCAATATGTTGTTCAACATCATCACAGGAAATCAGGAAATATCATTTAAAGGATGTTTGGCTCAGTTGTTCATTTTTGCCTTTCTGTGTGCCACTGAGTGCTATCTTCTGGCCACCATGGCCTATGACCACTACATAGCAATCTGTACGCCTCTACAATACACTGTTATGATGCAAGAAAGGAATATTTGGTGCCTACTTATATGTTCTTGGTCAGCTGGGCTCTGCACACCAGTTTTTCCCATCTATTTTATTAATCAGCAACATTTTTGTGGTTATGTTACAGTAGATCATTATTTTTGTGATGTTTCTCCACTACTAAAGTTGGCTTGTGGTGATATTAAAACTGAAGAACTTGTTGACGTCCTTATAGCGGCATTTGTTCTTCTTAGCTCATTGCTGGTTATTTCTGTTTCCTATTTCTGCATTACGTGGACTATCCTGAAGATGCCTACTTCTAGTGGACGTCAGAAAGCATTCTCCACATGTACATCCCATCTGACTGTAGTGTGTGTCTTTTATGGAAGTCTGAGCTTTACATACATGCGGGTCACACCAGCATCTATCACTGCATTAGACAAGGTTGTGTCTGTTTTATATCTTATTATCACTCCTCTGTTTAATCCAATCATTTATACACTAAGAAATCATGATGTAAAGCTTTCACTGCAAAATGTGCTTGCAAAACAAGGCTGTTTACAGCAAAAACCATCTCACTAAAAGGCAAAACGTTCATGCTTTGACATTGAGATATACTGCTAGATAGTTGTTAATTTTATTTAATAACACATTTCTATCAGTTTTATCCTAAGAAATTTGTTTCAGTCACATTTGAGAAAAGAACAACAGAACAAAGTAGCAACAAAGTTGGCATAAGGGACCGCTGAGTGAAAAGTGGAATCAGACATCTGGCACTCACAGAAATGTTTGTTTCTGAAGAGTTTTCAGGTGGCAATTTCTCTTCATTGCAGTGGTTTTTGCAGTGTAGGTGGCATGAAAGGTAAGTATTTACTAGCTTATTAGCAGATAGCTCTTGGATTTACATTTTAATTTTAGCAAAAGAAGTCATGCTAAAGCATATCCAAACCTAAAAACAAACATTTATTTTATTTCAGCCTACTAGTCTTTAAATGCAGTGCCTGTAATAGTTTTCATTTTTCAGACTATGAACATTTTCAGTGAGCCTAGAAAATACCTTTTGATCTTGCCGGAGATGTAGTGACGTCACTCCCTGTGAGCTTCGAAGAAGGTGCAAAGAACTTTATCTTTATTGTATAAACTGTTACTCCCATCAATTATATAATAAAAAAAAATATTGGCAAACAAATTGGAAGTCTAGCTTGTGTGACACCATGGATGTCCCCATAGATACAGCGGAGAGAAAAGTGTGAACATGAAAGGATTGGAAGTGTGTTATTCACCAATCACTCATCATTACCAGGTGAAAATAAAGGGAAAAGCTTGAAATTAAGTAAATAAATGCACTCATCACACTGCCCATTGAACCATCATAAACGTTGTGTTCAAAAGAAATTACTATTATACATGTTCCTGCATTTAGAAACACAGAACTATAGGAGGCTGATTAAGGGAAAACACTAAATAGTTCTTTGATTTGCCCCTTTTTCCAGTCTTATATTTTTGTCTGAGTATTAGGCTATTCTTATCCTAAGTATATTAATGTCACTTTCTGTGCACTGACTCACTATCTGTGCTAAAAATCTGTTCCAATCATCCACTACTCATGTGGTAAAACAATACTTTCTAATTTTTCTCATGAACGTTCCTTCTGATGGTTTGAGGGCATGTCTCAATGTTTTTGATCTTGAAAATACTGCCCTCCTGGGCATTATTCATGCCCATAAAGCATTCTTTGAACTAGAAGGCAAGGTGTGCTCAATCAGTCAGGACATCTACAAAACTCACCATATGATGTATGTATATGCACCTATGAGGAAAAAAGTCAGAATATATACTTACCTTACTCCTGGGTTTTACCCACAGCGCTTAGGCAAAGGTGACATCACAATCTTTGTGGTGAGAACCTGGAAACTGTGGGGATCTCAAATCTTGAGAGACGCCACTCCTCATCTCACAAAACTTAGGATACTTGGTATTCCCTGTGAATCTTGCCAGAAACATAGTGATGTTACCCCATACAGCTCAGTAGCTAGGGGTCAAGTATATGTTCTAAGAGTTCATTATGTGGAACTGTATCAAAGATTCTATTACTTTACTATTGCAGATTTTATCTTGGAGACCTCTAGTTCCCAGCTTTCTTGTGGATGTGTACAATGTTACCTGCCCTCTAGTTAGCATGTCCTCCTGTTAGACAGAATTGGTTGAAAAAGTTAGTCCAGCAAAGTTCTCTTAACCACTTCCCGACCGGCCGTTGCATATAAAAAAACGGCCGGACGGTGGCAGTGCAGAGTCGGGTGGCCGTTTATAAAGGGCCTCCCAGCACCCTGCTTGTGCGCGCTCCCTCGGAGCGCGCAGCACCGCGATCCGGTGCCCGCTGTGTCCTCCGGACACAGTGAAACACCGATCGTAGGACGAGACCTCTGTACGAGGTCCCGATCACATGCAAAGTAGTAAGCAAGATGTCACTTGTGACATCATTGCTTACTCTGTGTGAAATCTGTGAATGATCACAGAGGTCACATGGTACAAGGCTATTCACAAAAGCCTTGTACCATGTGACAAGCTGTGACCAATCACAGCTCACTCAGTACTTCTCAATGAGTGCAAGAATGCACATAGAGAGAAAGAGAAATGATTGCTTTTACATCCTATATGGGTGTAAAAGCAATCAGTATAAAAAAAAAAAAAAAAATCTTCATCACCCCCCACAAGTAGTACAGTGTAACCATAGTGACACTGTACTGCTAGGGTGACAGTATGTAAAAAAAAATAAAAAAAATAAAAAATAATAATATAACAAAATAAAAAAAAAAATGTAAAAAAAAAATGTTTAAAAATTATAATTTTTGGTTCTAAACTAATTTGGACTTTTTTTTTTACTAAAAAGATAATGGAATAAATTTTGGCAAAGATTTATGATGAGATATATTATTTATTTGCAAAATTTTATAAAAAAAACACTTTTTTAAAACATTTTTGGACTTTTCATTTACATAGCAAAAAAAAAAAAATCCCAGCGGTGAATAAATACCACCAAAATAAAGCTTTATCTGTCTCAAAAAAATGGTAAAAAATTAATTTGGGTACAGTGTTGCATGACAGCGCAATTGTCATGACAAAAGTGTGACAGCGCTGAAAGCTGAAAATTGCCCTGGACAGGAAGGGGGTAAAAGTGTCCGGTCTGGAAGGGGTTAAAGTGTCTGTAAACACTCACATATACCCAGTGAAGTGAATAGCCTAAGGTGACACACAGAGATTAAACAAATCCTCCTACATAAGTTTTACTTGTCTATCTGCAGTCTTCTTTTTTCTACATCCCTTCAAAAGTGCTGATTTTAGAAAAATCTTTCTGCATTTGTCAGTATCACAGAGGTGGGGGCAGGGAGCTGCAGTTCGAGCTCTGTGAAAGCTGATTGGAGGAAAGGGACCACCCCTCTCCCACCACACACAGCACACAGGAGATATGTTGCAAATAGACAAGCTGTCTTATGAGCTCTCCAACTCCCCAACACAAATTTAACTAATGTGTCGGGAAAACTTGTCAGAAGTGATACATGCTGGTAACAGAGGAACGGAGCACCAGAGAGAAACAAAACATAGAGCTTTGGATATAAACAGGTAAACACTACAGATATATGTGCTTTGTTCAGATTCCATGACTGAGGTTTACAACCACTTTACTACTCCGAGATAATTACCATCTGAACCCTTTGCTTATTAAACTTCAAGTGCGTTTTTTCATCTGCGACCTGTGCCTCTAAAAACCTGGGAAAAACTTGCACTGCAAGAACTAAAGGTAAGTTGGATATAGCATAGCATGCTTTATTGTTTGCCTTCAGGGGGTATAATGTTTGTGTTTTCATTTCTTTCAGGATATATTGGTTTTTATCATATGTTGCTTGGGTATTTTAGGTTAAACAGCTTTTTGCTGCTAGGCTGCAGATAGGCTTTTGTTTTAGGGGTAGTATTTTAAAGGGTTTTCCTTTTTCTATTTTTATTTTATGTTGATAGGGCTTTGTTAAGTTTGGGGTATTTAAAGCAGAGAATTTACTTGTTACTGACCATCTGTTCTTTAGACTGCCTCTTGTTCACAGCACACCCCTGCATTGTTTCAAAGGAAAACATTGAAATGCAAGAAGAGTGTGCATATAAACCACCTCACTTTGGGTTGATTTACTAAATAATAATGTAAAGGATTTCAGATGGCTACATATCGATTAAAACTCATGATGGCAAGGACCAGCAGTTCTGTACACTCCAAGGCCATGCAGTAGTAGACATGAGCTATACACGCTACAAAAGACACTACTTGGACTCCAGTTACAAATGAGACCAGGATTGTATGAATAGTAAGTTATAGAAGCTATGTCCAGAACAATTTACCTAGGAAGAAGCACATGGGAGTATGGAGATGACAGTCCACACCAACCAGCAGAAGAATGGATGTGTTACCACAAAGAATGGTTAGATAAAGAATCAAAGTTAGAAGGAAGACTGGAACTTGAAATTCGGGAGCTTCTGAAGTCCCTGTAATGATAAAATAAGGTGCTGACCAACTAAAATTCTCCATATCCAGCAACTTCTGAGCGCTTCTAAGAAAACAGACATATTTATAACTAAATAAATAAGCAGTTTATGTATTTTTGCCATGTGGTGTTCATTTTTGGCTCTTTTTCTATGAAACATACACATTTATATTGAAGGTACAATGATGGATAGTACATACTATATTGTCAAAAAGGTTTGTTGACACCTAACCAACACAACTGCTATACAACCAAAACTATGGGAGTTATTTACCAAAACTGGAGAGTGAAAAAACCGATCAGCTTCCAGGTTTTGTTGTGAAAGCTTTATTGAACAAAGTTAGAAGTTAGAAGCTGATTGGCTAGTGTGCACATGCTGCACCCAATTTTTGCACACCCCATTTTTGATAAATCAACCCCATTATATCACTCACATGCACCACACCGCTGCATCCTCATAGATAAAATAAAAGTTAGGTGTACACCAATTAGGCCTAAAACTTAAAGTGATACTAAAGGTTAATTTATTTTTTTGTAAACTAACAAACATGTTATACTTACTTGCTCTGTGTAGTGGATTTGCACAGACCAGCCCAGATCCTTCTCTTCTCGGGTCCCCTACCAGCACTACTGGCTCCTCCTTTGTGCAAGCAGCTTGCTAAGGGGCACCCGAGCAGGCATGTTCTCAAACCGCTGCTCCGTGTCCATTCACACATGGAGTTGTGGTTTGGCCCCACCCCTTCTCTCTCCTCATTGGCTGACTGGCTCTGATTGACAGTAGGAGCCAATGGTTCCCGCTTGTTGTTTCAGCCAATGAGGAGGCAGAGACCCGGGACAGCCGAGGCTGCCGTGCACATCACTGGATCGCAATGGGACTCAGGTAAGTTTTGAGGAGGCTGGGGGCACTGCTGCACACAGAAGGTTTTTTACATTATATGCATGAAGGTAAAAAACCGTGAGCCTTTACAACCACTTTAAATCCCACAACCATATATGCACTGCCAGTGTATACTGTCAATTATCTGTGAAAATCATACTGTTCTGTAACACCAC